GGTTCTCACTTTTTCTCCCTCGCCTTAATGCCATTACATACTTTTCAGGGATCAATACATGGAAAGGAAAGCAATTTCACAGCCATAATTACCGCAATCCAGAACCATTTCGAGATCAGGTTTGTCCCACTTTCTGCATTCTGTAGAAACTTCTAGATTGTGTTCTTCTAATGAAGAAGGACACAGTAGGATAGATTATTTTAATTCTTACTGGTTAGCTTCTCTTATCTACTTCCTGCTTTGCATAGGTTGTAATTTTAATAGGGGGTGCAGCTAGTTCTGCTGATATTTCTCGAGAACTTGCTGGAGTTGCCAAAGAAGTCCACATTGCATCAAGATCTATTGCTGATGAAGCCATTGGAAAGCAGCCTAGCTATGATAACATGTGGCTTCATTCTATGGTAAAAGAACTCACCCATGGTAAGAATTGGGTGGCCATATGGTGAAAAGTTCATCAAGGGAATTATCTTTGACCCTGATGCTAGAAGATAGGTAGATCCTAAGTTTTGATATAATTTAAACCGCTGCAGATCAAAAGTGCCCATGACGATGGAAGTGTTGCTTTCCAAGATGGGAGTGTTGTCGTTGCTGACATCATTCTTCACTGCACAGGGTATAACTTGCTTTGGCTTGTTTTAGGAGTTGATGTTATTATGTAATGTTCCATATTGAATATGAAGTAATTGAATTGAAAGTGCTAGAAAAATGGAATATGAATGGTAATCTTTTTCCTTTTTCAAGGTACAAGTATGATTTCCCTTTTCTTGAAACCAATGGCATTGTGACTGTAGATGACAACCGTGTGGGGCCACTGTACAAGCATGTCTTCCCGCCAGCATTGGCTCCTTCACTTTCCTTTGTTGGGTTACCATGGAAGGTGTTTCTCCACTTTAAATCATATGCCATATTTGGTTCATTCTTTTGATGGTTGGAGTAAATCTTTGAATATTGTGGTGGCAGGTTGTTCCTTTCCCACAGTTTGAACTTCAGAGCAAGTGGATAGCAGGTCTTTTGTCTAATCGAATTGCACTTCCATCCAAAGAAGAAATGATGGAGGATATCAAAGCTTTCTACTCGTTACTTGAAGCTTCTGGCATTCCCAAACGATACACTCATAACTTGGGGGATTGTCAGGTAAATTCAATTTCTATTGTTGCATGACCTTACCAGCTGTTCATTAATCAGAATTAGTTAAGAGCATTGGATTCGGAGTAATTGTTATTGTTGCCTCGTATATGACATATTAAAACATCAAGATGTTCACTGTTATTTGCATCCCAAATCAGTAGCTTCCATTGTATAGCATGTCTCATTTTTCACACTCAATCTTGACAACCTGAGAGGTTACTCCTTTGAAAAGCTGCTTAATGTGTGTTTTTTTCAGTCACCATTCAATGCCTTTTAACCTTTTAGGCATCCACTGTTCCAGTCTATATACTGGTATCTTTATATATGTCTTGAACGGATTAAATAATTCAGTGTTGTGTTTGCAGTTTGAATATAACGACTGGCTTGCAGCTCTGTGTGGGTGTCCAGTCTCCGAAGAGTGGAGAAAGAAAATGTACTTGGAAGTTTCAAAGAATAAGCATGCCCGACCAGAGACTTATCGGGATGAGTGGGAAGATGACCATTTAGTACTGCAAGCTCATGAGGACTTCAAGAAATACACCTTAAATGGAGTTACCAAAAAATGATTATAATCTTTGAAGTGTGTCTGTTCCTAACCTTGTGGTTGTTTCCCCTCTACAAGGTTTGGGTTCAACTCACAACAGTTTATAATCTTTAACTTGAATGATGTCCCAAAATAAGATTTTGAATGATGAGTTAAAGATGGATGAATAAAATTTAAGTTGGTTTCTTTATTTGTTCCATGGGATACTTGGAGAAGAAATTTAAAGAAAATTGGAGCAGCCCCCCATCAAGTGCAATTTAAGTTTGGGTTCAAATAATACAAATCAATTTGGGCTCAGTTCTGAATTTTCCATCTTCTGATGCATTTTGAATTGGATTTCACGACTCCCTGCTACATGATCAAAGATAACCAGTCATATTGATCTCAAAAACGCATATACAGAAACATTCATTTGTCGTAGTGATTGACCGACTAGTTTAAATCATTAATCAGAAGTTCTATTCTAACCAAGTTTCTTCTTTTTCTTAGCCGAGGCCTCTCTAGATTTCTTGAGTGATGCATTTTCTGTGAAAAGATGGTTGTACTTCTGCAACACCCTTTCTTTTTCTTCAATCCTGCCTAACATCTCATATGCATCTGCCACTCTCTGGACTACTGATTTCACGGGAGGCTTGCGATCAAAAGCTTCCAGGCCCTCAAAAAGCTACAAGCATGATTACAATAGGTTAGGCTAGCATAATATATAAAGTAATTCGAGCAAAAAATAAAAAATAATAAAAATTGAATGGGCCAAACATCATCCTATCGTAGAAAACTGCAGGTATGAACGTTATAAGCCATACCTTTACGAGACTCTCCAGCATGTTGTTTCGGTAAGGAAAATGCTAGGGAGACTAACTTTAGATACCAACTTGTGTACCAACTATCTAATAGAGCATGAGACCCATTGTATTGGTGGGCTCCACCTCTATTAGAGAGTTAGTACACAAGTTGGTATCTAAAGTTGGTCTCCCTAGCATGACCCTTTCGGTAATATATACCTATCATACTTTTGCATAACTGCCACGGAACTGAATGCAGATCAATGCCAATCTTCTTGTCCTAAAACTTGTGTGCTTCTTCTGGTCTTTGGTCTATATCTAAAGCTCGTATTAGTTGCCCATATGTTCCCATTGTGTTTCCCTGTCCCTTGCTTAGCATCCATTTAATTACCTAGATGAGTTAAAGAAAACCATGGTTTATAGCTCACAAAAGAAAATAATGATAGTGAGAGAGGAAAAGAAGAAAAATACAAAGAAAGAAAGGGGCACTTTAAAATTTGGTTAAGAAACATACAATTGTATTAATAAGACAATATCCTAATGAAGATTTGGGAGGGGGCATACGCCCACTGTAGGCCTTAGGTAGCTCCTCCGCCACTGCTTGTAATCTTGTTTGATTGTGGTTATGCGACTTAAAACCTTTTGTTTAATCAATTTAGAGAATTAAGAGTTTGATGTCGTATGTATGTGAAAAACGACACAAAAATCGTGTCGATTGTTATTAGTACTCAATAAAATCATTGTTGTTAATTACACGTAGACAAAGAGACTATTCATGAGAATATAAACATAACAAAGTAAGATTTACGTAATCTCCCTCAAGGATGAAATTATCTTTCCATATATCATTGAGATTTCCCCTTTATACCCTAAATTTCCCTAAGATAGGAATTCAACACAGCAAAAATAAAAAAACCTTGATGTCCACGGCATTGTTTCAAAATAGAAAGAAAGAATGAGGAAGAAAATCAAAACTTTCATTTATATAGTTGGACATAATCGCAAGCCTTCAATTTCCACATGTAGGTTGTCCTCATCTCCCTAAAAAACTTCCAGGTCCAACTTCTCCTTGTCCAATTTGACTCTCAATCTCACAGCCCAACATAAGAATATTTGTTAAATCAATGTGCTGAGTCGGCCGACTCAATTTCAAAGTTCCCCCCGACTTTCAGAAAACATACCGCGCACCACCAAATCAAAAAAGAACTTGAGTAAGAAAGAATGACGTCAAATTTAAAGGATTTGTGAATTTTTAGGGTTTTTATTTATTTATTTATTTATTTATAGCATATGCTTCTATAAAATAGAAGTACCGCAAAATAGTACAACGGATAGAAAAACCATCCAAAACCCAAATATTAGAGGCAGGGACAAAGTGTAACCTTTAAAAAAGATTGACCCCACCAAACAGCAATTCAGCAACTTAAAGCAAAAGCCTATAAGAGAAAGAAAAAAAAAAGAAATTAGAGAAAGAAATTACATTTGAAGGAACTCAAAGTATTAAGTGGGTCATATTTTTTAGACGTTAATATGCGAAATGAAACTAAATTGAGTTGTTTGCATCTTAGTTTAAATTCTTGTATTATCTCATATTGATGCGTAAAAATTAGGGAGTTTCACTAAAACACCCAAAATGAGAGTTGAAATTATAAAAAAACCCAAGCACTATTTAAACATATAAACACATCCAAAACCCATTATTACACACACTCAAAACTCATTTATAAACACACCCAAAAGGTTGACTTTGAGGTTGATTTTGGGTGTGTTTCTATGTTTAAATAGTGCTTGGGTTTTTTTATAAATACATGTCTAGGATTGGGTTTATTTATAAATTTGTATAAAAGGTAACCAATATGTAATAATACACGAATTGAATAGTACTGTAGTTTTTAAAGGGAAAGTTTTCTCTCCTGCTTACAGATGAGAGAGTAAGTTACTCAATTAGTCCAATGATTAAATCCTTACTTTTAGAAAGGCTCTATTAATAAGCGAAAAAATGCTTAATCCTCTATCAATAAAACAATATCACCCTTTGAATAAAATAAAAAATAGTGCTGCAGTTTTTTACCCGCCCCAAATTATTACGTCATTGCAACAGAAGATAGTAATAGTCTGTTTACTAGTTTAGTTGCCGCCACCCACCGCCCACCGGAAATGACTCGACGCTCATCCTTCGTAAGCTAACAAATGAGACAGCAATGTCGCCAAAACCAGCAGACGCAGTCTTAGTTTCCAATCTTACACTATTTTGTTTAGTGGTAAAAATGAATTTTCCATTTTTATTATTTAAATCCTCCACATTGTCTACACTTCAGAACCGTAACGCCAAATCCAATGCAACCCACACACCACCAACCGGCCTCTCGTCACGTGGCAGTGATCGGCGCCGGAGCGGGCGGCCTGGTCGCCGCACGTGAGCTCCGGAGAGAGGGTCACAACGTCGTAGTATTTGCTACGATATATGTGAGTTTGCACTAGCCCTAGATTTCGGTGCTCGTGTATGTGGTTGGTGACCTGTATCCTGATCCCGATCCCCATTAGAGATGTTGATGTATTTGAAGGACTTTGCGATTGAGTTTGGGGTCTCTGAGATTGTGAGGTTCGAGACTGAGGTGGTGTTTGTGGGTTTGGTGGAGGGTGGCAAGTGGAAGGTGAAGTCCAAGAGTAAGAGAGGTGAGGTTGTGGAGGATGAGATTTTTGATGCTGTGGTTGTGTGTAATGGGCATCATACTGAGCCCTGTGTTGCCCAAATTCCAGGTATCAATATCGTTGCTAAAGCTCTGAACTTTGTATTGGTTTCTTTGAGATTTGTTCATGAGGAATATGAATCGAATTGGGTTGTGATCCTTCGGATCTTTTTTATTTATTTAAGGCACAAAGTTTTGGACCTTTAATATTGGTTTAGGTACCTGATTGATTCTGCCTTGTGTGAGTGTACAATTGTATTGGTTGAAGGAAGAAAATTACTTTTGGTAGAGTGCAATTTGAGAAGATCTTCATAAAAGGAACTTCTGAGGTTACAGGGTTGAACTTCTTAGCTAAAATTTATGGAATGAGATATTTTTCTTAATGCTGAGTTCAGGCTTGTGTTTTGGTTTTTACTTTTCTTCTTCTGCTTTATGCAATGTACACTGTTTTTCAGGCATCAATACATGGAAAGGGAAGCAAATCCACAGCCACAATTATCGTACCCCTGAGCCATTTCGAGATCAGGTCTGTGTTGCCACTTTCTGCATCCTATAGGAATTTATAACCTACTTGTGTTTTTGTTTTCTTTTTACTCTATATAGTATGTAGCTTATTTTATCCATTTCTTGCTTTGCATAGGTAGTAATTTTGATAGGGAGCGCCACTAGTGCTATTGATATTTCACGAGACATAGCTGGAGTTGCAAAACAAGTCCACATTGCATCTAGATCTGTTGCTGATGAAACCATTGAAAAGCAGCCGGTCTATAATAACATGTGGCTTCATTCTATGGTAAAAGACTTCAGCCATGGCTAAGAATTGGGTGGCTTTGATGGGAAGTTCATCCAGAGAATGTTCAACTTTGTTTGAGCCTGATGCTCGAAGGATGGTTGATTCAAAGTACTGATAATTTTTAAATTTTAAACCAATGCAGATCAAAAGTGTCCAGGAAGATGGTAGTGTTGTATTCCGAAATGGGAGTGTTGTCCTTGCGGATGTCATTCTTCACTGCACAGGGTATACTTGCTTTGGATTGTTTTGGACTTCATGCTATGTTGTAGTGTTCCATATTGACTGTCAAGTAATGGAAAGTGCCACAAAATTGAGATCCTTTTTTTTTTTTTACCCTATTTCAAGGTACAAATTTCATTTCCCTTTCCTTGAGACCAATGGCATTGTGACTGTGGATGACAACCGTGTTGGGCCTCTGTACAAGCATGTCTTCCCACCCGATTTGGCTCCGTCACTTTCCTTTGTTGGGTTACCATGGAAGGTTTTTCTCTTCTTTATAATAAATGCCATATTTTTTGTTGCATCTTTTGGTTCATTGTTTTTTTATGGTTGAAGTAAATCTTTGAATATCTCCATGTCAGGGTGCTCTTTTCCCCATGTTTGAATTTCAAAGCAAGTGGATAGCAGGTATTTTGTCTAACCGAATCGCACTTCCATCACAAGAGGAGATGATGGAGGACGTCAAAGCTTTCTACTCTTCACTCGAAGCTTCTGGCACCCCCAAGAGATACACTCATAACATTGCTGATTATCAGGTAAATTCACATTCTTTGGTTGACTGCCTATGTTGTTAGTTAGTCTTAACCCATATGACCATAGCACAAATTCATTCGTCATCAGTGGTTGAGTGCACTGGCTACAATGTAATTGCTAAACGAAGTCTTGTTTCAGATATCCTTGACTGGATCCCCACATGATGAACTTAAGATAATTTAAGCACACATATCATGTCTAAACATCATATATTAGGTCTTTAAGAACCAAGCAATGTGATTCTTGGCCGTGGACAGAATGCCGTTTCATCTCTCTGTAGTCTGTTGGGAGCCTTCAGTTGCACTAATTAAATCTGCATGTATACTCATTTTGGATATAAATGAAAATACGAATGGGAAGAATAATATGATATTTGCTGCTGATGGTTCTCTTTATGGTTATTATCATCATCTTTTTCCTAACACCATAAATTTTACTAATCTTCATACTTGTGCCTGCTTATGATGAATGAGATAAATATTGAAGTGTTGTTATTCTGCAGCCTGGATACGAGGATTGGCTTGCAGCTGAGTGTGGCTGTCCAGCATTTGAAGAATGGAGAAAGCAAATGTACTTTGTAGCTATAGAGAACTTGTTTGCGCGACCAGAGACATACAAGGACGAGTGGGAAGATCACCATTTAGTATTGCAAGCTCATGAGGACTTCAGAAAATACACCTTAAATGGAGTTGAAAATGGATACGTGACATCAAATGATGTCCCGCCCAGTTCAAGGTGAAACAAGCAACCACCATGTTTATTTTGAAGTTCATCTTAAATATCCCCGGAAATCTTGATGTGTTCCTGTCCCTCAGTAAGGGGATGTTTAAGTGGTTGGTAAATTTATTTTTTTGGTCAGAAGGGTTTGGGGTCTGGTTCGAATAACAAATGTATGTAATTTTTTTTTTGTCAGAAGGGTTTGCGGTCTTAATTAATCTGAATCATTGATTAATAAATTCATGCTTGAAATGGAATGTGATGTTCCAATTTTTTTTTTTTCTTTGTGCATTTGCTACGATATATGTGAGTTTGCACTAGCCCTAGATTTCGGTGCTCGTGTATGTGGTTGGTGACCTGTATCCTGATCCCGATCCCCATTAGAGATGTTGATGTATTTGAAGGACTTTGCGATTGAGTTTGGGGTCTCTGAGATTGTGAGGTTCGAGACTGAGGTGGTGTTTGTGGGTTTGGTGGAGGGTGGCAAGTGGAAGGTGAAGTCCAAGAGTAAGAGAGGTGAGGTTGTGGAGGATGAGATTTTTGATGCTGTGGTTGTGTGTAATGGGCATCATACTGAACCCTGTGTTGCCCAAATTCCAGGTATCAAATTGGGTTGTGATGCTGTGGTTGCTAAAGCTCTGAACTATGTATTGGGTTCTTTGAGATTTGTTCATGAGGAATATGAATCGAATTGGGTTGTGATCCTTTGGATCTTTTTTATTTATTTAAGGCACAAAGTTTGGACCTTTAATATTGGTTTAGGTACCCGATTGATTCTGCCTTGCGTGAGTGTACAATTGTATTGGTTGAAGGAAGAAAATTACTTTTGGTAGAGTGCAATTTGAGAAGATCTTCATAAAAGGAACTTCTGAGGTTACAGGGTTGAACTTCTTAGCTAAAATTTATGGAATGAGATATTTTTCTTAATGCTGAGTTCAGGCTTGTGTTTTGGGTTTTACTTTTCTTCTTCTGCTTTATGCAATGTACACTGTTTTTCAGGCATCAATACATGGTAAGGGGATGTTTAAGTGGTTGGTAAATTTATTTTTTTGGTCAGAAGGGTTTGGGGTCTGGTTCGAATAACAAATGTATGTAATTTTTTTTTTGTCAGAAGGGTTTGCGGTCTTAATTAATCTGAATCATTGATTAATAAATTCATGCTTGAAATGGAAGTTGATGTTCCAATTTTTTTTTTTTCTTTGTGCTACCAAAACAAATCCCAAAGCACTCAACTGCCGACATCTGCCACAAAGTAAATTACCGCCTTTCAGGCCCCGAATAATTCTACTGGGGCCAACGATAGACAATAACTCGTCCCGCACACAGCTTACAACTTTTAAACACGCCAGTATTTACCGCAATCCAGAACCATTTCAAGATCAGGTTTGTCCCACTTTCTGCATTCTGTTGAAACTTCTAGATTGTGTTCTTCTAATGAAGCAGGACACGGTAGGGTAGATTATTTTAATTCTTACTGGTTAGCTTCTCTTATCTACTTCCTGCTTTGCATAGGTTGTAATTTTAATAGGGGGTGCAGCTAGTTCTGCTGATATTTCTCGAGAACTAGCTGGAGTTGCCAAAGAAGTCCACATTGCATCAAGATCTGTTGCTGATGAAGCCATTGGAAAGCAGCCTGGCTATGATAACATGTGGCTTCATTCTACGGTAAAAGAACTCACCCATGGTAAGAATTGGGTGGCCATATGATGAAAAGTTCATCAAGGGAATTGTCTTTGACCCTGATGCTAGAAGATAGGTAGATCCTAAGTTTTGATATAATTTAAACCGCTGCAGATCAAAAGTGCCCATGACGATGGAAGTGTTGCTTTCCAAGATGGGAGTGTTGTCGTTGCTGACATCATTCTTCACTGCACAGGGTATAACTTGCTTTGGCTTGTTTTAGGAATTGATGTTATTATGTAATGTTCCATATTGAATATGAAGTAATTGAATTGAAAGTGCAAGAAAAATGGAATATGAATGGATCTTTTTCCTTTGTCAAGGTTCAAGTATGATTTCCCTTTTCTTGAAACCAATGGCATTGTGACTGTAGATGACAACCGTGTGGGGCCACTGTACAAGCATGTCTTCCCGCCAGCATTGGCTCCTTCACTTTCCTTTGTTGGGTTACCATGGAAGGTGTTTCTCCACTTTAAATCATATGCCATATTTGGTTCATTCTTTTGATGGTTGGAGTAAATCTTTGAATATTGTGGTGGCAGGTTGTTCCTTTCCCACAGTTTGAACTTCAGAGCAAGTGGATAGCAGGTCTTTTGTCTAATCGAATTGCACTTCCATCCAAAGAAGAAATGATGGAGGATATCAAAGCTTTCTACTCATTACTTGAAGCTTCTGGCATTCCTAAACGATACACTCAGAATTTGGGGGATTGTCAGGTAAATTCAATTTCTATTGTTGCATGACCTTACCAGCTGTTCATTAATCAGAATTAGTTAAGAGCACCTCGTATATGATATATTAAAACATCAAGATGTTCACTGTTATTTGCATCCCAAATCAGTAGCTTCCATTGTATAGCATGTCTCATTTTTCACACTCAATCTTGACAACCTGAGAGGTTACTCTTTTGAAAAGCTGCTTAATTTGTGTTTTTTTCAGTCACCATTCAATGCCTTTTAACCTTTTAGGCATCCACTGTTCCAGTCTATGTACTGGTATCTTTATGTATGTCATGAACAGATTAAATAATTCAGTGTTGTGTTTGCAGTTTGAATATAACGACTAGCTTGCAGCTCTGTGTGGGTGTCCAGTCTCCGAAGAATGGAGAAAGAAAATGTACTTGGAAGTTTCAAAGAATAAGCATGCCTGACCAGAGACTTATCGGGATGAGTGGGAAGACGACCATTTAGTACTGCATGCTCATGAGGACTTCAAGAAATACACCTTAAATGGAGTTACCAAAAAATGATTAAGTTTATAAAGTGTGTCTGTTCCTAACCTTGTGATTGTTTCCCCCCTACAAGGTTTAGGTTCAACTCACAAAAGTTTATGATCTTTGACTTGAATGATGTTGTCCCAAAAGAAGATTTTGAATGATGAGTTAAAGATGGATGAATAAAATTTAAGTTGGTTTCTTTATTTGTTCCATGGGATACTTGGAGAAGAAATTGAAAGAAACTTGGAGCAGCCCCCCATCAAGTGCAATTTAAGTTTGGGTTCAAAGAATCCAAATAATACAGATCAATTTTCAGTTCTGAATTTTCCATCTCTGATGCATTTTGAATTGGATTTCACAATTCCTCGCTACATGATCAAAGATAACCAGTCATATTGATCTAAAAAAAAATTCAAATCAAGACAACGTTGGATACAATAAAAAGAGAAAAGTCAAACCAAACGAACTAAAACTGGGTAACTAGTTCAGATTGGTTGAACAGAAATAAAATCATGGAACAACATATACCAACAGAGGCTCAAACGCCCTAATTCTCAAAATGATATTTCACTTAACAATTTATACAATTTTGTTTGCCTTCCCACTAGATATCAAAAACGCATATACAGAAGTATTCATTTGTCGTAGTGATTGACCGACTAGTTTAAATCATTAATCAGAAGTTCTATTCTAACCAAGTTTCTTCTTTTTCTTAGCCGAGGCCTCTCTAGATTTCTTGAGTGATGCATTTTCTGTGAAAAGATGGTTGTACTTCTGCAACACCCTTTCTTTTTCTTCAATCCTGCCTAACATCTCATATGCATCTGCCACTCTCTGGACTATTGATTTCACGGGAGGTTTGCGATCAAAAGCTTCCAGGCCCTCAAAAAGCTACAGAATACAAGCATGATTACAATAGGTTAGGCTAGCAGAATATATAAAGTAATTCGAGCAAAAACTAAAAAAAAAATTATTAAAAAAAATTTTGAATAGGCCAAACATCAACCTATCGTAGAAAACTGCAAATCTAAGTATGAACGTTATAAGCCATACCTTTACAAGACTCTCCAACATGTTGTTTCGGTAGTATATACCTATCATGCTTTTGCATAACTGCCATGGAACTGAATGCAGATCAATGCCAATCTTCTTGTTCCAAAACTTGAGTGCTTCTTCTGGTCTTTGGTCCATATCTAAAGCTCGTATTAGTTGCCCATATGTTCCCATTGTGTTTCCCTGTCCCTTGCTTAGCATCCATTTAATTACCTAGATGAGTTAAAGAAAACCATGGTTTATAGATCACAAAAGAAAATAATGAATAGGCCTCACTCATTCTTTCCAGGGTCAAGCAAATGTTAAAAATAATTACATACTCAAAATTTCCTAGTCGCCACAAATTATTAGATAATTATGTTTTCAAATCTCTCTTGTTGGAAAAATTAGTTTCCCCAAGTACTTATGCACTCCAAAAAAAATGCAAATCCTCTTCTCATAGTTGGTTCTTTCCCATGATTTAAAGAAGTTTCTTTGCTACAAAGGATTGCAAGAATTTTGATAATGATGGAGAAGTCTAAGCCAAAACAGACACAAGTGCATAAAATAAAACCTCCTCAAGGATTATTACATCACACTATTCTGCTTCAAATTAAAATACTATTTTAAAGAAAAGTATTCCCAGATTGAGTACTTTCTATTTTTAAGTGTCCTCCAAGTTTTTAAGCCGCGGTGAAAGACAAAGAATTGATTGTACCTGAACAATTCTATGCCACTGCTGTTCCTTCTCAAGACAAGTCAATGCCATCCTAATTTTTCCAATGGGAAAGTCTTGCTCCCAAGCAACCCATCCATCAAGAGTACCATAAACAGCCTCCTTACTGTCATTGAGATCAAGAAGCTGCAAAAGTGGGGTTATTTAATCCATTATCGGCTTGCTACAAAAATAACATCCACAAATTTTCACTCTATTAATAAATTTGATTGCGATTTAAAAAGAAAGCTTGAGATATGTATACTTACAGTTCTTACAAGAAAGTTAACTTTATCCTTTCTAGAAACATTCCATCCAATTTGGCCCCTTTTCTCGCCACCAGCATTTTTCTCTGGATAGTAACTGTTTTGGTGGTTGTGTTGATCCTAGACCATTATAGATGAATTAGCCAACCAGTAAATGAACATCCAAGGCAAAAAGAAAATAACAGAAACCCATCAAAGACTGCCCACAGGGGAGGTATGTCATCCTTACTACAACTTCACAAACGTTAGATGCAAGAGACAACACTGACAGTACATTTTGTTCAATTCTAGAAATTTTGCCAAACAACGTCACAGTTTTGTTATTCATTAGGGACTAGAATAAATTTTGTCAACTTAAGTTTCAGGCATGGGATGACGAAAAGGTTATATCACATTGCCAATGCATGTACACAAGCACTTTGATAAATAGCTCTAAGATACCTCCAATGAAACCATCGCTGTAGCAGTTCTTTGGTTAGATATTTGAGCTTGCACCACTGTACTGTAAGTAGAATTCAGAATTTGGGCCCTGATAACCCCAAGCTGAGTTAATCGACCAACCTGGAGGAGATAACATTGTATTAGAGACATCCGTTAATATCTAATTTAAACCTCCAACACTTTTGTGAAACAGCTAGATTCAATTGTCTTAAAAGCTGACGAAAGCCAACGGGTCTAGCCGAGTGCAAAAGGGCCTTAACTTGCAGACCAAAGGTCTCAGGTTCAAACCCCATGACATTGTGTGTGAGAAACCCGCTCTCTTGTAATTTAGACTATTGCTTGTACTAAAAAAAACACTGATGAAAGGGGATAAACTTAATTTTGATTAAGAAATTAATACAACAGTGCCCCTAGCATATAACCAGGTTTAAGTAACTTAAAATTTATTCAGTTTTTTCAAGTAGTTAACTTTTTCATTGCTTTTTTCTTTCTAGATTAATTGATCGAGTTATAATTCTATATTTCTTAAGCCTAACTTATCCCATTATCATTATTAAGGCATTCATTCGGGTACATTAAGGGTTTAGTTGCCTAATTCGCTCACCCCCTACGAATTTCGATCTGGAACGAAAGATTTAACGACTCAGTTCTAAAGGAGAGAACAGTACCTGGCCGCCGACAGCAGACGAGCAATTGAGGGAGAGTATCGCTGGGGAAAGCCATGGACAAAGCACACGAGAGAGAGTGCTATAACTGATGAGCCCAAGTTTGATTCTTGCTGTTGGCATAAGGGGAAGATTTTAGGTTCGGAGAGATTTTTTTGGACGATTGGATTCGAAGAGGTTAGGTCGGGTGGGTGATAAACGGAGAGGCTAAGGGGGGAAATTTTGTTTTTTATTAAAGGTTTTTATCACAAATGAATACTGAGGTTTGTCAAATTATCAATTTTGATACTTTATGCATTTTTTTGACATTATTAATATTTTATGTTACACTTTATACATTAATTTGGTCATATCGTTAAATTTTGTCTAAAAATTTGTTAAATTAATAACGTGGTATATATTCGGAGCCCACATATCTGATAATAAAATGCCACCTGGATTTGAATAAAAAAATGTGTTTTGAAAATGAAAATACTAAATTTAAACCTTAAAAATAAAATATAAAAAACTCAAATACAACTTCCCTTCCCCATGTCACTCGCTTTGCTCTCTCTCTCTCTCTCTCTCTCTCTCTCATCTCTGTCCTTCTCCCCCTCTCTTTTTGATTTATCTGTCTGCCTATAAATCACTCTGTGAAGTAAAGAAAAATAAAATAAAATTTTTGAGTATTTGGGTGCAGCGGTGGGTCTAGGGTTGGGTGGGGTGGAGTGGTTGCCTTTGGTTCAGAGAGAGAGAGAGAGAGAGGGAGAAGGGAAATGGGAGGCATGGGG